TTATTATGGGTACTTAGAGAGCTTTACTACATGTAATATGTAGATATTTCGATCAGGTACAATGAGAGTAAAATATCCAATGTTTCAAACTACGCTCCTGTTTCCAAGTTCCAGCTAGGTTGCCACAGCCGCTGTGACAGGAGGTTGTTCTCTCCAGTTTGGCAGACACCTCCAAATCTCATGCAGTATTCTCCCTTACCTCCCTCCTGCCTCAGCAGTGCATTTCTCTTCCTAGACTTCTAAAGGCTGTGTTTAAGAAAACAACATTCTCCAATGGCATATTTCCTAAGAAGTGATGGTGTCAGTCAGTCCCAACTGCAGATAAACACTCTTGTTTGAAAAATTCTGGAAGCAATGCTTGAACCTAACAAATCACCTGGCAGAATGATTTTTCTCCTCTGAATCACAGCTCCTCAACTCCATAGCAGATAGAACCTGTCTCTCCATTTATTCATGCCTCTAAGAGCTTCTAAGCTCCATAAGCTGAAGGGAAATGACATTTTAATCGAGTACATAAGCTGTGAAAGAGTCTGAGGCTGTGCTCTGGGAAGATGCTAAAGCCTGCGGGAGCAGAGCCCTGCAGAGCTCCTGAGGAGCTCCAGGCTGAGGAGCTCCCCAGGTTCCCCTCCACGGATGCCCTGGCCTGGCATCACAGTGCTCCCTGATGCGGGAGGCAGGAGGGCGCTGAGACCCACAGCACAGACAGCACTTCCAAGTGGGTCCCACACAGCCCCAGGGGTTGACAGCCCAGCACACAAAGCACCCTCAGGTCACTTCAGAGGACTACAAACTCCTTGAAAGCCTTGAGGAGAGCAAATGAAAATCCTGCAAACAAAGACATCAGGAGGGGCCTCGCTCTGCGAGGGCACCACTCCTCCCCCTGGCCAAAGGGAAGCCATCAAGTCCCACCAGCAAAGGACACTCCTGGCCAGCTGGTCCTCTCCCAGCAGAGCAAAGGTGCTGGGCTTCAATCTGCCACTGCCTCTCTTGGAGGCCTCAGCAAGAGCAAGTTTTAGGAACAAAGATTTGGGGCTGGTGCAGGCCTTTCTTTTTCAAATGCAATTTTAAGGTTTAATGTAATTGTTGTTAAAAATTAGGTAATAGAAGGGTTCCGGTCTTGCACTATAATGAACTGCAGGTTCAATTGTTTGAAGAAGGAAAATTGCATTGATGCGACTGGATCAAAGACAAACAAAAAATTAGTTATTTCCTCTTGAGACTAAAAATTTTAGGAGGCTCATGCTTTTTCAAGCAGCCCTTACTGCAGTTCAGAGGCAGCGAGATCTTGTAGTCAGATTTAATTTATTAACAAAACAACAGGAAAAAAAAGAGAAGTGGGCACATGAAAACTCCAGTGTCTGAAAACACTCAAAAGAAAACCAAATGTAGCAGTTCCTATTACAAAGTGGAACATGCGCACAAGCTTGCTTTGTTTCAGAAATGAGCTGCTACACAAACAAGAGAATGGCATTAGCAACAGCTACAATTTCTGCCATCCCCAGGCAGGAAACCTCCTGCTAAACTTCAGAGGTACCACCGTTTTTAATTCCTTGCCAACTTATACACTTGTCATGACTGTTGGGATGCCAACCATTTCATGACAGAATCCAAACAGCAAGAATTTTTAATCCAGGGAATACTCAGGGCAAGTTATGTCAGTCCCAGCACCTCACTCCAGAGTCTGAGAATAATAATTGCACAGCTGCTACATTTAAATCTAAAATACACTTAATAATATTTATTCTTTCATGCTCTTTTTTAGTAATTAATTGTTCATTGTTATTGTTATCAGTTTGCTAAATCTGAACTTTGTGGACACATCATTTCCTTGTCTAATAATACTCCAGAGAACTGAAATTCTAAACAAAAAAAGAGCAGAGAGGCCAAATAAGTGCTTGAACCCAGTTCTGTAGATGTATGGCCTGATAATGCCAACCATCTCAGGAGGCCCAGCCTTGCCTGGGATTTGTCAAGCTCTTCCAAAGAGAGCTGAGTGCTCTCACTGTCCGTTTCCTGTACTCATGGCTCACCAACCCACTTAAGGTTGCCTGTGTGCAAGGGAATCTGCTTCCTGCAGCTCAGCGAGAAACAAAACTGCACACAACCAAAACCTCTTTCTTTACCTCAACACATCCAAATAACTTTCCAGAAAATTAACAGGCACAGGGCCAGCCTTTCCCCTCAGCTGGGTTTGAGAACACCATGCTCCTTGGGCCAGAACTGAGAAATCAGAAATAGGAAAACTACATTGGATTCTGTGTTTGCATCTGACTTTAAAATGCCTCATTTCTCACTTTGCAACAGGTAATACGAGGTCAGATTTACTGATTTCTATTTCTGTCTGGAGTAATGCAGCATCAGCTGTCAGAGTCACTGCACATATCCAGGACATGAGAAGCACGGGAGAGCAGTTCTTCCTCCCTCTGAGAGTATCCAGAGCAAGTGTATTTGAAGGAAGGTTTACTGAGTACTAAAATACTTTTCAAGTATGATCCAAAAAATTCTCACATGAATACATGAGAACCAACAGAATGAAAAAACAGTCAGAAGAGTATTGAATGTTTGCTAATGAAGACACAAAGGTTAGTTTTTTTCCAAAATAAAGTATATTATTACTGAGAAATAAAAAGATAATTATTACTGAGAAATAAAAACAACAATAAAAAGAGAAGCTAGTATTTTTGTATACATTGAAGATGTTCTCACTACAAATTTATTTTAATTAACAAGTTGTGACAATATCATAGGGTGTTACCTGATTTTACTGTTAACTGTGTTTCTTCCTCAAAAAATGAACTCCAGCCTGTAGAGACTTTAACCTTAACAAGACTTCATACATTAAAGTTCTTGGAATAGACCACTTCCTTAAAAATACATGAGGATCAAGTTTTAGATAATTTTGATTTAGTTTCTGATCTTGAAATTTATTCTGAGGTCAAGTCCTAAAGAGATACATGTATTACTAGACTTATGTATGTCAGAGGTAGCAATAATAACTCACTGTTTTCTTAATAAGAACAATCACCTCTTAATGGATTTCTCTCTCTCTTCACTTTTTATAAAGAAGATTCTTATGGTAAGCTATTTATGTTTTAAATTCAGTATAAAATATACGGACACCCAAATCTCAGGTTTTCAGCACCACTGGCACACAATGAAAGTCATAAAAAAAAAGACAGAAATGAGCAAAGTGGTAACATTTCCTCAATAGAAGTCATCTTTCTATATAGTTATTTAAGGCCTTGAAACTCCCAACCCTCAAGTACCTTTTCAGCAGATATGGGCAGCCCCAGACTGGTATCCCCAGGTGTTGCAGAGACAAATGGACTTGATAGCCAACAAACACGTGCTGGCTTGGACCAAGTTGTGAGAGGAATCAAATCATAGACTCCAAGGGCTCTCAGAGAAACTGTGATCATGGCAACTCTCTCTTACCCACCAGTGACCCCCTAGGACTGACATTTCAGCTGTTCTCTACTGTCTCAGAGCTGACACAAAAGATGCACAACCCCTGAAGTTAAAAGGTCTGTCAAACATGAGGCTTTGCCCCCAGACACAGACAATCTAAGACACTTTACATATTTATACACATGTATGCAACACATATATTCACCCACATACGTTTCCTATGCAAACCAAAATAATATCACCTTGTGTGAGGATTCCTGGAAAGCTTTTTCATGTTCTTGATGCAATGCACAGGCAGGCCATGCAGGCTACAGCTCAGCACAATGGATCCATCAGCCCAGTGGTCATTTACACTAGTCATTTCCAGAAATAACATACTGATGTCATGCTTACATAAGGTTCTGCCTGTGTTCATTAATACTCTGGTGCTCTGGGGTGCACAGTGTGGTACCAGTGTCCAGTGACCACTCTTATCCTACAGCATTTGGAGCGGGAGCAAAAATGAAAACACACATGCTTTGCCTGTACTGCAAAGGCACAGATCATGGGATAGGGGATAATCACATTTAATAAATAAATAAATATACATGCTGTTGATTCCCCCACACTTATTACTCACTCCTATGCATTGTACCACAAATATTCTTTGATTCTAACAAGAAAGAGGAGCTGCAAAGGCTGCAAGAACACTTATGCCCATTACCATTTTACTTATAAACTTGTCTGACTATAAACAAATGAAAAATAATTGTTTGTATGCCCTGGCCAAACTCCTAAAGCTGTAAAGTGAGCTTTCCATTATTTATCATAAGCAGCACTTGATACTGCCCTGAATGTGAACACCTGCACCACTAGTAACTATGCCCAGCATTTAGAAAGCAAGGTTTCTGGCATGAAGTTTAGTTATATCTAGGACCTGAAACAGAAGCAGGAGAAAAGGAGTCCTGTATAATAGAACACGGTGATAGGCTCTGGAAAATGCTCCACACAAAATCCTATGACCACAGTGATGGAGAAGGGATCCTGATGACACCCTAAACACCTGTACTATGTTGACAGAGCAATTAGGAAATACACTGGAAGAATTTAATTCACCAAATGTAAGAGAATGGATAGCACTGCTGAATGCAAAACAAAACCACTAAGGACAAGACAATGGCATTAACTGAACACAGTGCAAATACTGCAGCTATTTCTCAGGAGCTAAGCAAGCCAAAATATACTGTCCTACTCAGTGGTTCCTACCTGTCCTACTTACACTATCACTTATTTTTCGTAGTTAAACTTTTCTGTACTCTGACATATATTTTCAAAAGAATACCGAAAATATAATACAAGCTTTCATTTTTAAATTCTAAGCAATTCCTTCAAATATATACATATTATTCAATCCTGGTAGTAAACTTAGGCTTATTCTTTCTGCTTTGATTACTTAAACAAATATTGCATTGAAATATTCTCACATGCCATTGCTCCTATAGACATCTCAGCAGAGAGATCAGTGCACACACAGGATCTTTTCTGCCCTAGAATTACACTTTCACATCAGCTTCTACTTTACAGCTAAACTGTTCTTTTTTTCTAAAACTTACCTCAAGTTTCAGAAGATTCTTCCAGGAGTCCTGCAAACACTGGGACAGAAAACTTCTCCTTGGTGACTTTTATTATGCATTTTGAATGACAGTTCAGATGAGGAAGAACTTTTTCGGTGTTAAATTAGTTCTTCTGCTGTAAATTTCATCCTTCTGGCAGGGTGACTACATCCAGCCTGACAGGCTGCAAAAATAATTAAAAGAACCAACTTTCATCATGCAGAAATATGCAAATATGTATCAACTGAAGCACAAAATATCTGTCAGGGTTTTCTTTTCTCTGTTTTTCTAACTCTGGGACAGGATATCAATATTAGCTGTAAAAGAAAGGCTGCCTCAACACTGCATTTAGATCTTGAACATGCTAAGAGGTGTGTACATCAGTGAGCATCTAGAAGTTGGACTTTCTTTCACAAAAACATCCATTTTTTTAACTGGGTCCTATGTTGGAGGATAGGCAGGGAAGAACAAGACATTTTTTGTGCACACAGTTTAACTTGGCAAGGGCAGCAACTCTCAAACTGTTCCCCAGACAGAGGCTCTGTTCTTTTTGTGTCCTCTTCCTCATCCCGCTGCTCGATGCTCCCCTCTCCCAGTCCTTGAGCCTCGAGATTGCGCTGAGAGGAGCGACACCCTTTGTCCGGAGCCTGCACTGTCCCTCCAGGAACAGCAGCACACGGAGCAGCATGCACACAGCTTCCCGGGGCTCCCTGCCCAGGGACATGGGCGCTGGGACAACGGATGCTCTGGGCGGTGTCAGCGCTGGGGAAGAACACGCGCCTGTCCCTGTGCTGACAGGGTGCGGAGCCCGCACAGCCACAGAGCATCTTGTGGAATGTTTATTACAAAGGTTTTTTGGTAGGCAGAGTAGCGGTGGCGCAAGCAGTGGTGGTACCTCACCTGGTAACTAATGGCCAGTCTTCACGAGTGAAGATCCGGGGAAGGTCTTTCCACCTTCCAGCCTGCGCATTGGATTTTTTAGGTGAGACACAGTGTGCGCGGAACTGAGCCCACCCTTTAATCCTAAGGTTCATCTGCCGGGGCCAAGCAAGCTTGGACAGTGGCAGCGAGGTCCTTAGGACGTAGGTGGGTTGCCTTTAAGGGCTAACGAGCCCCACCTGCCCGGGAGTGGCCCTGCCCGGGAATCGAACCCGGGTCTCGGCGGTGATAGCGCCGCGCCTTTACCACTAGACCACCAGGGGCTCCACCTGGTAACTACACAGCCCGTAAACGCACACCGGAGCCTTCCTGAGAACACTGTGGCTGCTCAGGAAGCTGGAGACAGAGTCCACACTGCAAACTTAAATCTAAGACTGAAATCGTCAGTGGCTGCAGAACTACCTCAGCAGCCACGGGTCTCCCCGGAGAGCTCAGCCTGGTACAAACCCACCCTGCAGCGCTGAGGGCCATGCCCGGCGCTCCCAAGGGACTCACCCTCGGGCAGAGTGGATGTGCAAACCTGGCTGGGGTGAGCCACACCCTGCAGAGGCAGGAATTCCTGCTGTCCTGCTCACACAGTTGCTTGCAGACACCTCAATGATCCCCTGAGCAGTATGACAATTTAATCCTTAGTGGTTGTTACAGTGCAAGATCTACCTTTAAAAATATCTGTCCCAGACCAGTTCAATATGTAAATAACCCCCACATATCTTTAATATAATTAAAGGTATTTTTATATTTAAATATTTAATAAAACATGTTAAATATTAGATTTAACTGTACCCATGCAGAATACATGAACAACTTTCTATAGCAACACATATGCTGTTGGACTCAGCAAGTAATTTTTATAGTGGCAGGGTGATTAATTTCAATCCATACTTCCAAACACGTCTCAGTGCATTAATGTATACTTTAATTACTGTGCCAAGCAAAGGAACACATAATAGGAGCTATAATTTCAGAACTTTACAGATATGGTTCACTATTTGAAAAAACCCTTCTTAGATGAACATTTGCTTTACAAAAGCAGGAGACTCTTGATCTTATAGATATTGCTTAATTTTAAAATCAAAGCACAAATTTCATGATAATCAGTATTGTTCTTAAAGCCTCAGTTTCGCAGTTATGCAATTACACAACATTTAATTTTTAAGACTAAGTAGATCTCTAACCCTCATGTTCTACGCTTAAAACATGCATCCTAGCAGCTCAAAAAGTCAGTCTAAGCAATGGAAGGGGCTGCACAGAGCGGATGTGCAGTCTCCACGCTCCCAGGCTTTCATGATCTAACTGGATGAAGCCTTGAGCAGCCTGGTCTGATCCTGGGGCTGACCCCACTTTGAGCAGGAGGTTGCACTAGATGCCTCCTGAGGTCCTTTCCAGCCTGGAGGATGAGTCTGTGACCATCGTGTGTTGCCGATCACTGTTGCCTAAGTATCATCTTCTCTGAAGCTCATCTCCTCTCAAAATATTTTATTTGCTCTGCTCACTCCTTAGAGCCCCTTACTCTGACACACTTCAGGCCCTGGGAAAGTGTCTTATCTGACACCAGTGAGGTTTTTTTCTTAGAGGAGTCGGCAGTTTCAGACACTTAAACCCCAACGTACTTTAGCAAATACTGCACAGTCCACAAGTCTGGTTTGGACTGTGCTAACATGAAAAACAGAGGAGTGAAATACCTGTAAAAACTCTTCCTCATCATGAACAAAATCCAACTTTGTTCAGGACATTTTTCTCTTATCTTTTAAAACACACAACCCCATATCTGACCTTGATATATCCTTTCTTGTGGGGGTCAAATCAGCTGCTAAAACTGCTGGTATAAGTGTATTTCCACTATTTTCCTCCTGTGTATGTTGTACATTTTCAGCTCCCAAAGCGTACTGCAGAGATCAAGAACAGCCCTGTGCAGGCAGGCAGCTTCCACACAGAACAGAAAATCAAAGCCTGGCCCATGAAGCAGAACTCTCCACATCTGCCTGTTTTTATGGCTCCGGGAGTGCTGAGTGTGACCCCACCAACACAGCACCACACAAAGGAACTAGGAAGTGTTGAGCTACCTAGAACCCAAACCATCTGACACTTGAAAATGCTCATCTGGCTCTTACATGAGGTCCTGGGGACATTTTGGTACCCAGAATTTATTACTCAAGTCTCAAAGCAGTGCAGAGTAAACTCACTGGAAAACATTTACCAGGACTAGTAATAAATATACACCTCTAACAGCCTACCCCAGAGCAAGTCCCAAACACAGCTCACACAAACCTATCATACTTTTATTAGAAGACCACCTTCCTAAAGCAACCACTTTAATTCCTGGAACGCCTCTGCTTAATTTCTTTGTCTTGTCCAGCTGGGCCCTAACTTCATTTTGCCTATGTATATAATTTCCCCTAAGAAAGCATCAAGTGGACAAATCAGATTCCTACTTCTGGCACCAAAATACTACTGAGTTCCACTAGCTATTAAGGGGTTCCAAACTATGGCAAACAAATCCCTCAAGGCTCACTTACAAAAAAATATAAAAACACAGGTCTAAGCTTGCCAGACTGTCTGCCTCTCACATCCACAGAAACACTCCTCAGAAGAAAAAAAAATTCTTATTATGTATGAGGTACAGACCATCTGCGGCAGGCGTTGAGAGCCAACTCAAAAGTGGGGGGGAGGAGAGTGTTCCCAACTCAGGCATAGGCACGAGGAGCTGCAGACTCAGCAGCTGCCTGTGCGCAGGGGAGAGGTGCTGGGGCAGGGGCAATGAGGCTGCACCAGCCCTGCCATGGCAAACGATGGAAAGGCACGTGGTTACACACAGACTGTGTGTAGAGGCATAGCAAGAGCCAAGAAAACCTGGTGGAGACAGTAAGATCAGCTCAGAAAAGGAGTTTTCTAGGAGTGCTGTTCCCTGTCACTGTGGTGGAAGCAGCATATGGAAAGGAAGGGATGATAATATTACTACTCTGGTTTTAATACAGACCACTGGACTCTTCATGACATGGCAAGTAAGAATGGTAACATCAGCAAACTGGAAGCAACAAAGAATACAGGAAGGTTTTCTTTTTCACTCGTAAAAGAATTAAACACATCGTTCCATATTAGTCCTCTAAATTTTCTTAATTCTCTTGACACCTCTTTTCCCTACTTCACTACTCATATCTGTATTAACTATTTACTGTTAAGCATGCCATACAGCTCAATAATGTTTCATTTCTGGAAAGGAAAAAATAATCTTGTTTTCTAATTTTAACCACTGAAACTAGAGTTACATTTAACCCTCCCACCAAAAAAACCCAAGAAAACCCCATGAGAACATTTTCTAACATCTAGCAGCTTGCTATGCCTTTGTGTGTTTGCAGCCCAACAAGCAGGAGATAGTTCCATTGGCTGTAAACAAACTGTGACCAGATAAATATGAGTAAACCTTTCCAAGTGACTGTTGCTGATTCTGTCAGGAAACAAATCTACTTACAGCTCTCTCAAGCCAAAATCATCCCAAGTATTTGTCCTGTTAAAGTCTGCTGTTTTTTTAAACACTACAAATTAAACCCTGCTTTCACAGATATCCCTGGCTAAAATCCCTCTGCTCATCTCCCTGGGGCCAGGAATCACCTGGAATCTGAGTCTATGTATGGGCCGATCCTGTAAATACTTACCGAGGTGGAAGGAGCACTGACATTTGAGCTCTGTCATACACTGAAGTCCCTTTTCCCTGGGTGTCTGCTCCACCTGGCTGCTGGAGATGGGGCTCTCCATGCTGGATCTGCAGGCACAGGCCTCGGGAATACCACAGCAGCTCGGCAGGGAGCGACATGCTTCCAAGGGCTCCGGCTGGACCTGTGGGTGAACATGAAGCAGCTCAGGTGTGGGCACACACTTCCCTCACAGGCTCTGCTGAGGAAGCACCAATGCCCAGGAACAAGGTGGAGTGGGGAGGCTGGGGCAGTAGCAACTCCAGCCACTTCCAGAAGGTTTGCCAGAGGCTGTCTGTCCTGCGCAGAGCCCTGTCGCCTTCAGTGCCACCCACACCTGCAGTGGAGCCTGAGTTCTAACTGAAACATGCCCATTTCAAATGGGCACTGGGACATCACTTCCACTTTGATCAAGTACTACGAAGACTGAGGGAAACAGTGTGAAATTATTGTGCTTAAAATTGCTTCTTTATTTAAAATAAGGTCATTTCTGCATACACGCACCAATATCTCTAGAAAACTTACTGAGTGTACCCCTGCAACTCCGTGAGGATCTGACCTCACCAGCAGAAATCTAGACCAGCCCTTGGTGAAAGAATGCCTTTTTATCCACGGATCTAGGAACACAGTTATGCCTAAGTAGGGAACTTTGTTTCCCAGACTGTTCCTCTATCCAACTGCAACCTGTTTATTTTGACCTCAGCTCTTAGAAACTGTTGATGCCACGGTAGAAATATGCTGTGTGTTCCAACAGGCAACAAACAGTCCTAATGACAGCACACTCCATCTGTGCTGCCAGAGCACACAAGCTCAGCCTATAGCTCGGATCCGCTCCCGGGTGTGCAGGACCAACCTGCGCTGAGCCTGTGCTGCGCGGGACATCCTGGCACGGCAGAGCCTCCCGGAACAGACCTGTGCAGGGAGCCCAGGGTAGCCAGGGAACACACCGGCAGCACTTGCATTCTCCCCTCCCTGAGATTTTGGGTTCTTTTAAATGTTTCAGAACTACAGAGTAAAGAAAGCTGACTCAAAAAGTGCCCCGTGCTCTCCAAAGGTAGAAGTTAAAGTGTGCAGAACATATGGTACTATTTACAGCCCTCTAACACACTGGATTCAGGGGAATTTTCCATCAGCCTCAGACTCTGCAAAAGGTATGTCACAGAAAAATGCATGTGGGGATCCTTTAATTTCTCTTGCATCTTCTCTTCTTATATGATGCAGCTGTGGAGCAACACCCACTGGTACTGGTAGCATGAAACTGCGATCCTTCCCTGTTACCAAGGTCTGGTACCAATTACCATGGATTTAGAGGCACTATATAAAAGACAGTGCTGATTTGCTTCTAAATTTGTATCTTGATTAAACTGTCAGGCTATAGCACAAATGCAGCGCTTACCTGACTTTAAAATCCTACTACAATAAATTATCCAAGAAGTGCAGTACAATTTAAAAATGCTTATAAATGGATCAATACTGTGCATTATGGTTAGATTTTACACTTGGTCGTGCCAAATTAAATAGAATAGAAGCAGCATTTTATATTAAAACTGTAAATTCAGTGTGTTCCAAATAAAAACTGGATGTGAGGAGGGACTGTGAAGCGGAATTTTAAAAAACATCAAGTTGGCCAACAGAATAACAACTGCAATATGATTTTTAATATTATTTTCAAAATTATTTTTAACTGTGTTTTGGTACACAAAAAAAACAAATATGAAAGACCCAAACTCTATTCTCAGGAACACACATGCAAACCCTCATTGGTCAGATTAGTGTTTTTCAGCACTTACCCCTGTAAACAAAGCAGAATTTGGTCTCACCCTGTTAAAGCCAAGTCATTTCCCCCAGAATAGCTTCAATGATACTGAATATATTTTAACTATCCAGAATTTCAACATCTAGGATTACTGCTGTAAACATACATAGGCATTGTGGTCTAATGAAAGACAAAGTTAACATAAATACGGTGCAGCAAAAGTGAGATCAGCCGTGTGGGACTTCCAAAAGGAGTTTAGGAATTAAACTGCCATTATTAAAGTTAGTGCAGTTATTGAACTATGGCTTTTAAAATTTTCACGGTATACTGAACTGTTCTGCACAATGCAAGTAATTACAAAAAAACCAGATTTGTTTTCCATCATGATTACGAGCCATCGCTTTTCCTAAAGCTTCTGCTTCTAAAACCAATGTTCTTGTATGTTCTAACACAAACTTTCTAGCTTTCTTTTTCATGGTACCCATGTAAGAAAACAGCTATTCTAAATTAATTAATCATCATGCAACCTTCCAGAGAGGGAATATATGATAAAAGTATTACATAGTGAAGTTCAGGCATATTTTTATATCCTCAAAAGAAGGTAACTGATCCTCCCCTCTCCCCAGTTTCAAATGGAACTTGGCTGCTATGGATTCTTTCCCACACAAATCAAGCCTTAGCTCTCTTGAATTGAAACAATATGGGATGATTATTGTGGGAAATTTTTTACTGTTACTGTAATTTAAAACTTTCTGTGCCCAATTTTGCATTTTCTATAAATCAAAAACCCATTTCACTTAGGGCTACAATTAAACAGAGGAAATCAAAGACTAACTTCTAAGCAAGTCTTGCTATTAATCATAGGACGAACTAGTAGTACAACTACTTTTATTGCAGTTCCTTTCTGCCTCCATTTTCATCTAAAGCTCAGGTTCTTTAGAAGAGGCTGTGCCACAGACGAGATACATTAGCTGAAGGTACAGTGAGAGGAGGGAAAGCCTGAGCGCCCTGCCTGCCGCAGGAACTCAGGGCAATGCCTGGGATCCCAGCACAGCTCCAATCCTGCCAAGTAGGTAGCGTGCACAGCCCACGAGCTGCCCAGCACCACTGCAGGGCTCCTGCAGACACAGCTGCTGGGGTCCCACACTGCCACTCCAGAGGCCACCTCCTTCTCCAGGAGCAGCCACGCAGTCACAGCTGGTGCTTCACCTGTCTGAACTGAAATCACTGTTCTTCTCCTTTTAACAGAAAATTACAAAAGCAAAATCAAAATTTCAATTTAAAACACAACATACAAACGCAAAAATAGAGGAGTGCAAAATGAAACTGTGTGGAATATGTAAATGTAGGGCTTCTGTTTTTTCAAACTGGAAGTCAAAATGATGTATTTTTATTTTCTAAAAAGAAAGAATGCATCTTGGTTGCTAGACAAAATAAAATATGAACTCCCAAATCAACAGAAACATGTTTCACCCAGCTGTCTTTATTTTTTTTCCTCTCTGTTTCTCAGAGAAGATTTTTTATATCATTACATTTTTTCCATATCTTTAGGGAGAGGTTTAATGCCTCATGGTGTCAGTTTTTGTAAAAATCCTACAGAGGTACAAGTCACTGCATTATTTGCAGCAGTACATCTACAGTAAGAACAAGTGATAATAGTAACTTGTTCACAAAAGACATGCTCAAAATAAAAAATGGCTTCCAGTTAAAACACAGTCTGAAATTTATATATTCCATGTTAAAGAGGAACCTGTTACTGATTGCAAATTAAAATTAAAATGTACCTTGTAAAAATTTCCATTTTTTAAAAATAAGCCGTTTTTTAAAAAAGGAAACAGCTGTGAGGAGTTTGGGGAGTTACTGGAAGGGCATCCTACAAAAAGAAAACAAAAACCTTCCCAACACTGACTTACTACTCAAATACCGTGATTCAATAAAACACAAATGGAAAAGCTTTCACCTCTGAGAAGAACTAGATTTAAAAATTAAATTTAAATATTTAAAAATTAAATGACTTACTGAGACTATAGATTGAAACGTTGTTTTACTATTCGTTTTCCTCCTAAGGAAGATTTCTCGTGTACTTACAACTCTTGCTCTCTGTGATAACAAACTCCTGGAGCAATCAACACCTTTGTTTCTCAAAAAGCACACTTAGACCGTGTCAGTCCGGCTGTGGTACAAGGAGCTCCAGGAACCTGCTCACCCTTTTGAGCACCCCTTTCCCCGAGAGGACAGAGGAACTCAGTCCAGCTTCCTCCAACCTGCTCATCAGCCAAAAGCAGCCTCTGACCACACAGCAAAACAATGCCTGCAACCACAGGTCTGCCTACCAGGAATTTTGGAAAAACTGGATGTGAACTGACCTACAGTGTAAGGAAAGAAAAATTGGGGAAAACCCAAAAATGAGACACAGAAGTTTGGAAGTCCTGTGCAAACAACATGAAAGAAACTGGTGCACTCACTTCATGCAGATACCTGCCGAGCTCCACAGTCTGAGGTGGAGCACCTGAACCTTCTCTTTTTCTGCTCAGGTTTATCACATTCACTTCTCCCATTTGACCTCAGCCTGTACTGCATACAGGGAGAGAAACTGCCTGCCCCAGCCAGCTTACATCCCTGTTGGTGCTCGGGACATCCACATGCAGCTGGGCCCGGGATTCCAGGACCCCTGACCACCAAAAGCACTCCTGAGCCAGCAGGAGATGCTGAAAGAAATGCAGGCACCAGAACTGACTCAGGTTCGGCAGCACTCACCCAAAGATTGTCAGAACCATTAACAATCAGGCTAAAAAGCTGCCAAATTGGACAGAGGATTACCAGGAAACATTTCAGTAAACTGTCTGCAGAAGTCCTGTATTTCCACTTTTGGCCCAAAGCGCTGGTTTCTCACACAGTCCTGAGCAATTGAGGTTGTGGGGAGAGGGGATGCAGTGGTAGGAGGGGGAGAGGATATGGAAGCAACACAGTTTGTGATTACAAAGTGGGTGCAAAAGCCAGTTCTGCGCATAAGCATCTGCAGGATTTGATTGTTACAGGCACACTTATTGAAAAGGTAAGGAAAACTAAAGCCAAACAGCTTTTCCAGTATTCCTTAAGCACACTGGCCTGCTGAAGTGTCCACGTGGTGGAACCAGTGTGGTTCCATGTGCTCAGCCCAAGGCTGCTCACCACATGTGCATCTGGGGCACCCGGGAGAAGGAACACTGGACACAGTGTGACTGAGAATACCTGCTCCCCTGAGCCCACTGCAACACGCTGCAAGGTCAGTGGGCACAGGCCTGCCTGGCTCCTAGGACAAAAGAAACAAATCCTAAACTCAACTACATTAAGGCAAGCAGTAAGGTAAAAAGAATGGAATTGTCAGAGAGAAAAAAAAGGAACGAGCA